CGAAACTAGTCTGGCTCACAGACACACCCCCAATGAAAGAATAGACCATTGCAAGCTTTTATTTGTTGTTAAACAAATGTTTAAACAACTCTATTCAATTATGTACCAGCTTCCTAGTGTCGGCTAAGGCTAACAATACGAAGAATTAAATTGTGGCGGAATGCTACAGGTTCTTCAAATACCTTTAGAATGATAGGTTTCCTTTTTTTTTGTGAGTGTAAAACACTTAAATACACCATTTCGAGTATTATGATTGTTTTTTGTTTGTTTTTTTTAGTTTCGCGAAAAGCTACTCTTAGGCTATCTGCGTTAGCCGAATCTAATTTGTAAATGGTAGGCTAGAGGGAAAGAAGCTAGTCAACATCACCCGCCGTCAACTCTTGGGCTACTCTTTACCATCGAATAGTGGGATTATCCGTCACATTATAAGATCTCTCGGTGATAAGGGCGAGCATGTTTGGTGACAGGTGTTGATCCTTTTGCGAGTCGAATGCTCTGATAACCAGGACACATCAGGCCAAATTTTAATGAAGAATAGTTTAGTAGTTTGTTCCAACATGAATATCTTCATCAATATACAGCGAAACATCTGCTTCCAGAGAATGCAAAATTATACAAGTGAAACAAGAATTACATTAAAAAATACAGTAAGCGCTCCTTACAACGAGCCCAATTCTTATGATGTTTCGTTTGTTTTTAATTATGCACAAAGCTGCACAAGGGCTATCTGTGCTCTGCCCACTACGGGCATCGAAACCCGGTTTCTAGCGTTGTAAGCTCGCAGACATACCGCTGTGCCGCTGGGAGGCCAATTCTTACGATAAAAAATATTAATTACTAGTTTTTACATGTTGTTAAATGCTTTTATAAATATTGATTTAAAAGTCTTAAAACATTAGATTATAATAGCTTATTGTTTTCAGTTTCGATTAATATTCTATGTAAGGTCATTCAAATCAATCAATTTATTTTAAGCACAAAGCTGCAGAATAGGCTATCTACGCTGTGTACACCGCAGGATCGAATCCCAAATGATAGCGTTTCAAGCCTTCCAGCTTACCACTAAGCTACCTGGGAATCACATACCGGGAATTGTGGTTAGAAGGCAGTTAGTAACGCATATGGAAGGATACAATTGTATAAAATGATATGTGCAATACATTAACACACGGCACATTTGTGTTTACAGTAAGTATAATAATAATGCCTTTAATATCTACTTAACCTATTCCCAAACCATCTAACAAAGTTTATGGTTCATAAACTGAAGCATCATACCAGTAAACGTTTCAACTCGCGATAATTGATTAACTGTGACTCTAATGTCAATTCCCCAGTGTTAGAGCGGTTGTCTGCGAACTTAAAACGTTAGAAACCGGGTTTCGATACCCGTGGTGGACAGAGCACAGATAGACCATTGTGTAGCTTTGTGCTTAACTTCAAACAAACAAACCATTGTGGTAAGTTAAGTGTACATTTTCACCTTTTTTTCTCCGAGATATTTGAAGAGTATTAGCAGTTTATGTTGGACCGTTTTAGATATATATTATTTTTTTCTCTATTGGGCAGGTTTTTAACAGTATTGGTTGTTAATCGCCAGGTTTCTTTCACATATCCAGTAAACGGACCTACCGATTAGAAAAGCTGGGATATAAAAACGAATTTTATAATCTAAGAGCTCCAACAGATATTTGCTTTTTACATTCCAAACAATTGTACTCGTCGAAACAAAATCCTGAACAGGAAAACTAAACTTCTAAAGTCCAAATGTGTGCTTTAACGAGCTAAGCCAGAACATTGAACTCGCGCAACCAGAACCAGCATTTGGTAAAGGCATACAAAAAAGCCATTAAAGTTCAAGTTATTATTTTTCGTCATAATTATACCAGATGGGAAAAAAAATCCGCGAATGTCAACAACGTTTTTAAACCATGATTAGTGTTTGATTATTGATTATGACAGGAAGACTCTTAACTAATCATTGTCATTATATTGTTCAAGTCCCCTCCACTTACTAATGCGACTTGAATTCTTTGTAATGCGACTTTGTAATGATCATGTTTTTAAATATTTTGTTCTCACCAAGATTTATTTGACATAAATCGTATCCTACCTAATTTTTATTGGAAGAAAACAAACAAACAAAATATACTCAGAAAGTTGAAAAATATAGTGAAGACTAGTCGTTGAGAAAAAGCTTAATAGTCAGTGTTAATAATTCTGCTTCTAAGCTAAAGACTCACTTTGAATGAACTAGATTTATTGCTGGGACTTAGAATATGTATTGACTAGCTTGAGGAACAATTAACTTTAATATCTGAGTCTTCAGATGACAAATCGATTAGTTTATGAATTCCACGATAACAAAAAACAAAACTATATACAGGTAAGAAAGGGGGCTGATTTCAAACACAGAATAACATGTGTTTCATGAGATATTATTCACTAGAGTTATTATAGATACTCATTTGTTTAAAACTTCAAATTATTCTACAGACACTCTGATGTTATAAAGACAAACGAACCTTAGGGAACTCTACAATAACCAGTCTCAGCCTCCTGCTGACTTACAGTGTCCAAAGTGTGAAAAGAAGTTCCGAGGAAAAATAGGCGAAATGACTAGAAATGGAAATATTGGGCGCCATGTTCGATTACGATTGACAACGAAACTTTTCTAACTTTAGGACTTTTGATAAACATGAAACCTTCAGTATGTCCCAGCGAGTTTCTAAGATACCTTACTTTATCAATTTTATAATTTTTACGAGTTTGACTTCTATTTCTAATTCTCCTCTTGTTACAGCTTTCGTGCCAACTTCCCGAATTCTGCACGCCATAATGACCGAACGTGGCAAATGGTTAACGTGCCGAACTTTGAATTTGTTTGTTTGTTTCAGAGCAAAGTTACATTGGGCTATCTGCTATATCCATCAAGGAGAATCGAACCCCAGCATTTAGCATTGCAAGTCTGTAAACTTACCATTGTCCCACCAGGGGATCGGACTTTGAATCCGAGGGTTTGGCTCGCTTTCCTTTACCACATTTTATTCATTATCTCATTTTCAGGAGTTCCATGGCCATTTACATTTTTTTTATTCATCACTGCCTTTATGGTGCCTATTTTTAAAAACTGTCAATTACGTTTTTGTCAGGAAATTGAAAACATTTTAGAGAAAATAATCTATTGTAATATGTATAATGAAAAAAAGATATGTTTTGAGAAACGTTATTCACTTAAAGGTGAAACTACTTTTTATATAGCTTTCAAAGTCAATGAAATAAATGCCGCGTATGACGCTGGTGCCTAATAAACAAGAGATCCAACTGCTTTTCTGCTAATAAGTTTATGCTCGTCTTTGTTTTGTGAGATTACTTTTGTAAGCCGTATAAACAGTTATCTTTAAAAAAAGGAGAAGAAAACTAAGAGACAGGATTAATACTGGTGTTTAAGGAAGATAAAATTTTAAACATGATGTAACTGCTTTTTTTCAGTCTCTTTAAGATATCCTCCAACGTACATATAGGGTGAGCAAACAAAAGAATTACTTATAAAGCGACAGCCTCTCCTTTTTAGGTTATTTGAATTCCTCCCTGTTTCAAAGTATTTCTCTCAGAAAGAGGTTTAGCAGTTTATATGGATATTTCCTCAAATAACGTTTTGTTTACTATAGCTTATCTTTCTCAAGAACTTAACTGACTGTAACACATTAATCAGCATTATCTATTCTATTTCTGAATTTTTCTCTCTTTTTATTCATCTCAGGGCAATCATAATCGCCTTTTGTCACGTTTTCGCATATTCTGGTTCTAATGCCAATGAATAGAATAAAAAATATTGTCCCAATTGTCTTCGTTTTGGGTTAATAAAAACAATATTTGAACTAAGAAAAGAAACTTCTCTCACAGGCAATAATCTCTTTCGGTTTACCTGGTTATTCAAATTCTTACCTGTGACTTTCTATTCATTTACAGCAGAGTGGTTAAGTAGGATCCTCTTCTATTATTCTACACATTGCTTTAACGCAGTAAACCATAAAATAATTCCACCTTATTCGTGGCCCGGCATGGCCAGGTGGTTAGGGTGCTCGACTCACAATCTGAAGGTTCGAATCCCCGTCCCACCAAACATGATCGCACCTTCAGCCGTGGGGGCGTTATAATGTGACGGTCAATCCCACTATTCGTAGGTAAAAGAGTAGCCCAAGAGTTGGTGGTGGGTGGTGATGACTAGCTAGCTGCCTTC